ATGTTGCTTTAGTGTAAGAATTGTATCTATCTTCAGTTTTTGAAAACACGTGACTGTTATCTATTTGAATTTTGCCCTGACTATTCTCTCTGTTCTCTCCTCATGGGACTCCTGTTAGCCATGATTTGAGGTTTCTCGTGATAACCTCCTCTATATCTCTAACCTGCTCTTGCAGATTTTTATCTCTGTGTCTCTTTGGTGCATTCTCAGAGATCTCTGCTGGTCGTTTGGTTCACTAATTCTCTCCTCAGCTGTATGTAATCTGCTATTTAAAAATTTTTTTTCCCCCTTTTTTTTGTCTTTTTTCGTGACCGGCAACAGGATCGCAACCCTTGGTGTTGCGCCCGCNCCCCCTTTTTTTTGTCTTTTTTCGTGACCGGCAACAGGATCGCAACCCTTGGTGTTGCGCCTGCACCTCGCTCAGCCAGTGAGCAGCCGGTCTGTACGTGGGATCCGAACCCTGGGCGGGAGCGCCGCCGCGCTCCCAAACGGCGCACTGTAGCAGTGCGCCACCGGGCCGGCCCTGCCATTTTAAATTTTATTGATTTTTTTTTAAAAGAAAATGTCTAAGGTTTTTTATTGGATTTCTTTTTAATTTAACAAGTTCTTTTTCCTCTTAAATTAGATATGCCTTGTTTAATCCTTATGTTTTAATTCTTTTTTTACAAAATCTCTTCAGTCACTTGGAATATGACTGTTTTTTGGTCTCACGTCTTTTGTCTTCGTGTGGCTTCTGGTATTTGGGGTGACTCTCCTGCGTGTTATATCCACTGGTGCTCCTTTACCTTGGCCGCTCCCACTGGTGCCCTGTGGTTTTCAGTGGAGCTCAGCATTGTTGGGTGGTTTTCTGTGGTGACCGGTCATCACCACAGATTTGCCTACAGCATTTTCCAGAGTCCGCCTTTCAGAACTGATGTCTTCCCTTTGCCATCAGAGAGATTATAGTCTTCTTCAGTTTCAAGAAAGAAAGAGAACAACAAAGCCAGCTCTTGCTGGTCCTTCTGCCTCTCCTTGCTGCCACCAGCTTCCGTCTTCCCTGCCCTGTCCTGAGTTCTGTGCCTGGCATCACTGCCTGTTTTCTGTCTTCCTCGTCCCCCTGCAGCCTGACTCCTGCCTTTCCCTGACTGTAGAAACTGCCTTCCCCCAGGTCTTTAGCAACTGCTCCATGGAATGTCACCTCTTCTCAGTTTTGCTGTGATGTGCCCTTGGACACCAGCAACTGCTCACTTCTCCTGTTGGCATAGGCATGTTTGTCTGGTCTTCCAATGACGTCTCCCTGCCCGGGCCCTCCTGCCCTGTCCTGGGCTCTCCCTGGCTCAGCTTCTCTCTCCACACTGGGCTGCTCCCTCTTCTCTCACTGTCAGTGGTGGCTCTGCAGGTTGCATGGCTGTGCCTTGAGCTGTTCACTCCCTTTTCTCCCTGCTATTGGCCCCCCATCTGGTCATCTGATCTCCTCTCTAGTCCACACCCTAGTCATCTCATCCCTGCAGGACTCTTGGTGTCCCTAGTCCCCCCTCCAATCTGCTCTGCAATCTAGGCTGCAGCAAAATTAAGTCCAGCTTTCCTCAGCTCTGCTGCCTGCGGCTTAGAGACCTTGGGTGGTTTCCTGTTTTCCCTCCACATTGTCTTCCAGGAGGATTCATTTGTTACTGTTGCTGTTGTACAAACATTACAGGAACGTGTTCTCACTGTGAAAACATGAGTGACGCTTAGCTACGCAGTGACATAGGAAATACTGCACCCTCCCGCCTCCCCAGTGCCCTCCCCAGACCACTTCTAGTGGTTGGCTGCACGTATGGTATTTATCATCTCCTTTCCTCCCTCTCTTCCTTCCTTCCTTCTTTCCTTCCTTCCTTCCTTCCTTCCTTCCTTCCTTCCTTCCTTCTCCTTTTGCTCTGCTGTTCCCAAAGTCCAGGACATGGTTGGGGGAGAGGGGCACGGTGGACATCATGAACATGTGAAATAAACAGTAGTGCGATGGCCAACACTGCCAGCCGTGGAGATGCCCCAGTCCCATGGCAAATCAGTTGGGGCCAGGCTGCTACTCAGAGTAATCATTTCATAATCCCACGTGAGGAGCACTCTGAGGGTGTATCCACTGCTGGAGGGACTTCCAAACTTTTGATCTTCCTTTCTCCCTTCCACCATCCCTTCCTTTTTTCCTTTCCCGCTTCATCTTTCCTTCCCTCCCTCCCTCCTTCTTTCCTCCCTTCCTTCCTTCCACCAGGTGAGTGTTTACCGGATGAATTGTTTTGAGATTTGCTTGCTCACTGCAACCTCTCCAGGTTAGCAAAGGTTGGTCGACACACACCTTTCATGGTGCACTGTCTTCATGGAGCTCCACACTCACTCACTCGCTACTTTGCCGATGGCATGGCCAGGTCTTTGCCACCAGAAACAGCAGTGCAGCTGGCACCCAGACACTCCCGCCTTTGCACTCCTCCTGCACTGTGTGCCTGTGTCCACTGCCTGGTTCCTAGGAGTGGAACTCTGGTGAGTTCTCCGTGTAGGCTGTTCACCTTCCTGCCACCGTGTAGGAGGTGCCTGCATTCTGACTGGCACTGCCCCAGCCGTGCAGTTTCCTTCTGCCCAAGTGTCGGGCCAGTCTCCTCAGAGTCCCGCTGTAGGCTGTGCCTCTGCCATGTGGCCCTTCACCCTCCCTGTTCAGTTCTAGTGCCCCCTGCTCCTGGTCCAGTGTGGCATCTTCCTTTTGCACCAGACCTGCTCCTGCCCCACCGTCCAGACAGGCCTGGTGGGACAGGCTGGGTCTCTATCACTGCACGTGGTCCACGCTGGCATGTGGTGTGCCCTTGATGATGACCTTGACCGGATTCAATAGGAGACTCCAGGTGGCCAAGCCCCCGGAGTTATTTTCCAGTAGAGGCCTATTTGCCCCTTGAATTCTGAGTGAAATTGCGAAGGGCAGTAAATGTTGAAAACAAAATGGGATTAGGCTCCGAAGAGCCACATGAATCCTTTTTTAACGACACAAAGCTTGTTATGCCTGTCTGTGTGCACATGTGTAATTCAAGCCAGGGTCAAGAATGAAGACAAAGGGACAGCACTCGGAGCTGTGTGAGAAGGTGAGCGGGCCAGGCCCTCAGCAGACCTGCTCGCAGCGAATGCAGGGACACGGTCTCAGGCCAGTTTCTTCTGTGGCCAGGGGCAGGACACAGAGAGGTCAGCATTGTTTGTGGACAAAAGTGGAATTACATCAGGCAGATAAGCAACACTTCAGGCACCAGGGAGAATCTGGGACAAAGCCTGAGGTTCCTCCCCTCGGCCCCTGTTGGCTGCTCGGCCAGGGAAGGAAAAAGGAGGCAATAAAACCTGGGCCCTTCTCTGGCCCATTCACGTACCAGCTGCCTGTAAGTTCTGGGGACTTTTCCCGTGACTGTGGCACATTTCCCCAGGATCCCCGGGCCATGTGCAGACACCAGGCACTATGTGTGCTACGGTCACACTGACAGCCAGTCATCCTGAAGCTTCTCCTGGCGCAGGCGAGATTACAGCTCCTGGATGTGTCCTGGGCCTGGGGGCAGGTGCTGGGCTCGCATGATGCCCTGAGGACCGCACAGGGGCAGCGCCGGGCTTGCCCCTTACAATCCCCCCAGTAAGGGACACAGAGGCGGTGAGGGGCCCCAGGCCAGCTGGGCATTAGGCAGCAGGGGTGCCCCTCACCCAGGCAAACCCAGGTGAGATCCGGGTGACTTAAGTCATTTGTGAAGAGTATCCCCCAGATGTGCTCATGGAAGCCACGGTCAGCACATTGTCCTTAGCCGCTGGAAAGCAACGGGTTTCAGGGCTTCATGCTAGGCTGCTGTGCGGAGGGGGTGAAGGATCCTGTGAGAAAGGCGTGTGGTGGGCTGTTTAAACGAGCAGCTGTCTGGGACCTCAGCACAGCCTTGCAGCAGCCGTCCCTCGGGTGTTCCAGAGGCCGGTTCAGGACAACACAAGGAAGTTGCAAGTCACACAGTGGGGAGTTGACACAGATGCCTCATGGGGTGGTGCTCGAGGAGGAGGAGAAATGGTCTGGGCAGCTCTGAGCTTGGTAGAAGCAGTCTGGCCGAGGAGGTTGCCATCGTCCCCTGAAAAGGGACCACTAGCCGGGAGGCGGCAGGCCTGGAAGGGAAGAGCACTGTCACCCTCATCCCACCCTGGGTGGCCGCAGGAAGGGTCTGACCTGTCCCCCGGGGCCTTGCTCATCGCCCAGCGTCTGGCAGCGCCTCTCGGGGGAGCGTGTCTGCTTTACTTCACCAGAGCAGCAACGCGCCCTGTAGAGAAAGAACCTGACTGTGTGGAAGTGTTTGTGGTAGGAGCTCGGCCCTAGCCCTGCTCCCCGGGTGGCAGATCTCAGAGGCAGCCTCGATGAACTGTGTCCGTTTGGGGGTGTTCTGATGATTACTTACAAACCTTCAAATAACATGCTTTGGTTGCTACCCTTGGTTCATCGACTTCACACCTTACCTTCTCACCTCCTGCTTTAATAAAGTCGTATCTAGCTAGTGTTGCCTTGTGCACCTCCCAAAGTAGTTATATTACAGCTTGATTCCTCTGGTAGTTACCTTGTTGGCTTAAATAACACGCTTAAACTCAGGTTTCTTGTTCTAAAAACCGTGGGCTGTATCGCCTCCCTTCCCTACTGCGCACATGCGCACACACACTCTCTCTTAACATTCACAGCTACTTAATTATCTAATTTCAAAAGAGAAGATATGAAAACAGTGTATTTACCAGAGTCCTTACCAGTGGCCGTGGCAACTGGCTGTCCTTCCTGCTAGGTTTGTAGGAGCCTCTGGCTGTTGGGTGTCGTTGTCAGATGCCAAACAGGTTTGTGTATATATTTGTAACTTCCCAGCCTGACATTGTTAGGTTGACAGTCCTAGTTGTTTTTGTTAGTGTCCCATTAAAAGGAATGTCATTATGCAGACAGAGGACTAGATTCAGCCTCTCCAGGTGTCACAGTCGAAGTGTAACTCTTAGTCTTTCTATCTTGGTAGCCAGGAACCCATCTCCTTGGCCAGCTTTTCCATGGCTGACCTAGTTCCAGACCTGCAGCACATTCTTTTCTGGATGTCTAACTCCATCGAGCTCCTGTACTTTATCCAGCAGAAATGCCCACTCTACATGCAGAGCATGGAGGAGCAGCTGGATGTCACAGGTATGGCTGGTGCTGCTCCCCTAGCCTTGTGCTGGCATTCCCAGGCAGGGTGAGCACAGGGGCAGAGCTGGCCACGAGAACAGGGAGGGATTCATGTCAGGGCATCCTCAGCTTCCAGTCCTGGCATGTGTCAGTTGTTCGGAGACCACTTGAGACCAATGCTGGTGGTTTGGGCCAACCTGACAACATCGTGTCACGTGCTCCATGCAGTGGCGTCACCTTGACTGCTGTCCAACTCTGTTCTGCTTGTAGGGAAGCCCGGGGGATACCCGGGCCACTCAGTGGGGAAGACATAGAACCACTAGGGAGTGAATGCCAGGGACGGTAGGCAGAGCATTGGCTCTCAGCCACTGCCCATTCCGAGTTGTGCCACTATTTCAGAAAGAATTGTAGTTATACAATTGTAGATGCATGTCAATTTCGGGGGTTGTAATGTGGGGAGACGTGCATTCTAGGATTTATGAAGTACAGTAGGAAGCGTTCTGAAAACGCGGAGGGTGAGTCTGACTGGAGCAGTCTGGGAGGGCTTCATGAAGACGGTGGCATTTGGGCTGCTCCTTGAGGCCCAGGTAGGATCTTAGCTGGTGTGTGTCTGCCAGGGAGGAGCAGCAGGACTGTCCTGCCATGGGACCAATGTGACAGCCAGGCCCCTGGGGGCTCTAGGGCCAGAGCCTCATGTTTTGCTGCCCCTGTTGCTCTGCCGTGGCAAAAACACATCACTCACTCCCCTCCATCTGCGGGTCCCTCAGGCTGTTCAGGCCACTTGTCCACCCCGTCCATGAGCTGGGAGGGAAGTACGGGCCAGGCACGTGGACATGGACCCTGTATGCCGGATGCTGCACTGTGCCTGTGTGTACTCAGCTGTGGCACCCAGGAGGCGGCCATGGCCTCAACCTAGAAGAGCTCTGAGAAAACAGGGCCAGCGTGGGGCCCTGGACCAGGCTGTACGCGTTGGCTCTGGGACCCTGCTATGGCTCCTTGCAGGGCAGATGTCCTAAGAGGAGGGGCTCTCGGTGGCCGAGAGTGTGGGGCTGGGGAATCTGCATGGTGATTAGTGGCCAGGACAGGCTCTTACTCTGCTTAGCAGACACTGTCCTCAGTCTGTGGTGGGGGACTGGGCTCCGGAGACCAGGTTGGATGAGGGCCTATGAAGCCTGGGCAAACCGAACCCATCAGGGTGTCCGGGCCAGACCTGGACATCAGACTGTGGGGTGAGGGCACACCCTGCTCTGGAGAGGGGCAGAGCCAGCTGAGATCTGTCCACGCTCCGTCCTGCCAATCATGATTTCTTAGTATTTTCTTTTTTGTTTGTTTAATTAATTAATTAATTATTCTTAGTATTTTCTGGTCCCCTACTTTACAGTGGAAAGGGAAGAAGGACCTTCCTGTGGGGCTCCCAAGGCCTTGGGATCTGGGCTTCTGCAGATGTGTGGACGGCGTGTCGGCTCTTGGTGCAGATGCTTCCTATTCCCAGTGGGCATTCTGGGCATGTGGCCTCTGTGCCTCGTCCCCTGGATGGACATGCACAGCAGCCAGTTAGACTTCCCAGGAATGGGTGGCCACTCCCTGTCCACAGGGTCTGGATCTAGAGCAGACGTAGTATCTGGCTTTTCTCCTGAACGTGACGTGAGTGCCTGCACTTGCGAAGTCTCCAGAGCAGGGGCCCTCGCGTCCAGCCGCCTGGCCCACCCCGAGGGTCTCTCCTGGAATCCAGTGCCTGTGCACCCCCGAGCTCACTCCCTCTCCCATGGCCTGGCCCCAGCACCACTCTCGTCTCCTTGAAGGCTTCTGGCTGCCCAGGGCCAATGTCACAGATGGCAGGCGGGTTCTGAGATAGAAGAGACACTTCTGGAGTTGACATTGGCCAAGAAACCACCTGGACTTTGGCTTATTCTCGAGTGCATGTCCTTCTGTGTGAGGTGGTGATGAGGTTAGGTTTAGGGGATGTCCTTAGGGGAGTCCCTTTTGCTCTGGCTCCAGCAGGAGTCAGCTTGGGGGACTGGCTTCCCCCGCTCCGTGGTGACTGGGCTCTGCATTCTCGGCGAGTCCCCGCAGATGGCCTTTCCAAGTGGCTTCGTTTCAGCCAACGTTCCGGCTGCTGTTAGCTGATCCCACACAGGCCCTCATCTGGCTGCTGTTCATGGGAAAAGTTGCTCCGTGCTGACGGGCTGCAGCTCTGCAGCTGCTGCCTCTGGTCCCAGGGAGGAAGTTATTTTTGGTCGGGGACCTGGTTGTCAAGCCCAGTCAATGGGTGCTGGGGGAGTAAGCGTGTGGCCCAGGGGCGCCCCAGAATCTGGTGTCAAGAGCATGGCAGGCGCCCGAGAACTCAGAGGGACAACATTGAGCAGAGGGCAAGGGAGGCCGAGTCTCCGTCTCAGCCTCCTGAGCCTCTGCAGGAAACGTCTGTGGGAGGTCTTCTAAAAACAGAGGTGGCATGTCCGGAGCTGGTGAAATAGCCTTTGTCGTTTCCCAGACAATCTTTTTGGTCTGAAGTGCTGACCCAGGAGGCCTCGTTTCCATCTCATGAGGGGATGGCGTCTGCCGCGTCCCTCTGCAGGTCTCCCCTGCTCTCCCTCGGGGCTGTGGCTCAGCGCCTGCCGGGGCCCAGTCGGAGGAGGCTGCAGGGCGCCCATCCTCCTTGAGGCTTTGTGGTCTCGGGGTGCTCAGTGATCCCAAAGGAGTCTGAGAGCTGTGTGTGTTGGGTGTGGAGCCTGCTCTGGTCTTGTCCTGCAGAATCAGCGCCTCGTCCTCCTGCTGTTCCCATGGATCCAATTCTCTCTTCCCATTGGCCGAGCCCTGGCCTGAGAGCCACACAGGGCTGCATTCTCAGGTGGATGTGGTAGTGCAGGGGCAGCCTGTGCTCAGAGTGCCACGGACAGACCCCTGGCACTGTGCAAGGGTCTGGGCTCAGGTTCTTGGCCATGTCCCCCTCTGCTGGCTTCCCTGTGGCTGTGAGCACATGTGGCTTACACCTGTTCTGGTCGGTGGTCAGGGCCAGCCTTGCATTTCTCTGAAGGTCTGGAAGCTTTGGAAGAAAGGAGCATCTCAGCTGGCAGAAAGCCTAAGACCCCAGGTTCCCTCTAGCCGCTGGGGGAGGGGGGATGCAGGGAGCAGCCAGCCCTGCCTGGGTTCCAAATGAGACCCCTGGGACCAGGCATGGGTAGGAGGCCAGTGGGTCGAGGGAGGGTCCTGGCACTGGGCAGGCTTCTGGCCTCTGGCCCATGTGGGTTCTTGGGGAGTGGGTTTGGGGGACAGGGGAGCCCCCAGCTCCTGAGGAAGTACTTGAACAACAAAACAAAAGTGATAGAAACACATCTAGTGTTTTGTGAGTTGCATTGTCCTGGCTGTGGATGGGCCTGCCTCAGGGCCTCTGGCTGCTGCCCACGATTTCTTTCCGGGTGGCCTGTGCTCCTGCGAGGCCTGGCTCAGGCCAGGCCATGTGGACTCGTGAGATGCAGCAACTCCCTCACGGCCCTGATGGGAGAGTCCTCGATGGCGTGAGGGTGCGGCCCCTGCTGTGGCTCCTGTGGAGAGCCTGGGGCAGGAACGGAGAGAGAGCCCCCCACTCCTGGTAATGAACAGATGAGGACTTGAGAGAGTGAGGAACAAACGCCAGACATCCAGCATTCTGGTTCCTTCCCCTTAATGCCTGGGGACCCACGTCCAGATGCCGCTCACATTCTGTAGAGCCCCTAGGGATAGTTCCACCCTGCTGGGGGCCTCTCGCCTTTACAGGAACCCCCTCTTGGAGGGAAGGAGTCACCTTCTCCTCCCCCCACTGGTGACTCCCCTCCCCCAAGTCTCAGCTTCAGCCACACCCTGCTGATGCCCTTGTGGTCCCCTTCCCTGCGTTGTCCCCCGGCCCAAGTGCCCTGCCCAGAGCCAGGCTGCCTCCGGGTGGCTGAAGACACAGCAGCATCTTCCCAGCTGTCTCCCTGGGTGCTGGGGGAGGGGACATAGGTGATTTAGGTTTCTTTCTTCTTGAAAGATTGTTATGATTCCACAGAGTGACGGCCTCCTCAAAGCCTGCTGTCAGAGGTCCTTTGACCTGTGTCCTGATGAGAAGTGACCTGCAGGGCAGGGGTCGGATCTGCTATTGTGGGGGCAGATGCTTCTAATGGAAAACATTCTGGAACACTATAGTTAATGAGCAGCTCCTGTGCTTGGGATCCACGGGGCGTTGGAATGTGTGGACTCCTCCTGCCCCTCACCAGCATTCCTGGCCTCTCCATGAGGGTGGCAGGCTTAGCCCCAGCCATGGCCCAGAGGTGTTTGGCTGGTTTGTCACATTCTCCCAACCCACACGGGAGCGTTGTGTGGTGCTCGCAGGGCACCTGGGCAGGTGGTTGTGTCGCTGCTGTTCCTGCAGATGGGTGCCGATCGCTGTGGCCTCCTGGAGTGACTGTTGCTGTTGCTGTCTCCCTGCAGGCTCGAAGGAGTCACTGTTTTCCTGCACACTGACGGCCAGCGAGGAGGCCATGGCGGTGCTGGAGGAGGTGGTGCTATACTCCTTCCAGCAGTGCGTGTACTACATCTCCAAGGTATGGTGGGTCATGGGCACCCCAGGCCGTCGGGGATGGCAGCTGTGCTGGCGGTGCCACCGTTTCTGTGCTTAGGCAGCTTGTTGGATGAAGTAGGCTCAGGCTGTGGATCTCCTAGGGAGGAGCCAGGAAGGGGCTGCGATGAGCTGAACTTCAGCAGTGAGGAGGTGGCCGCTGGTCCTGCGTAGGCCCTGATGTGCCCCCGATGCCTGCTCTTTCCCAATCTGGCCCCTCACTCGCCCAAGCAGGAAACCTAGAATCACTCTGGCTTCCTCTTTCCCTCCCGTTGAAATGCAGTCCCTGCCTGCTGGTGTGTTGAGGGTCATGGATAAACTGTGAGAGGCCTCGGTGTGTGGCACATGGGACATGGCTCTGTTGTCAACCTGGGGCATGGGTCTATTGTCAACCTAAACCCAGCTGGTGCCAGGGCTGTGGCCACTGGTCCCCCTGTGGCCATGACCCAGCTCTGGGGTGCTTTGGGGCATGGTGAGCTGCTTTCTGGGGAGGTGGTGCTCTCCCGCTCAGTACCAACAGGGTGTTTGCAGCCCTCTTTGCTGGAGTCCATCCCACCAGGCACTACCTTTGTAACCTCCCAGGCTCACCTGTGCCTTAACAGGAGCAGGTGCCGTATGACCACTGCGGCTGGCTCTGGCTGAGTACTTGTACCCTGTCTCTGCTCCTAGCAGCCCCAGAAGGCAGCTCTTGCTAAACCCCTGTCCCCCACCCCCTGCAACGTCACTGGAAAAGCCTCAGCCAGGAGCTGTGATGAGTCCAGGGTGGGGCATGCAGCACGTGGGTGGGGAACTTGGTAGGTCAGGGCCTCTCAGTCTGACCACCAGCACCCCTGGAAATGTGGTCCTGTTCTCTCACCCTTCCAGTGCCTGTACGTCTGCCTCCCAGCCCTCTTGGAGTGCCCCCCGTTCCAGACGGAGTGCCGGGAGAGCTGGTGCGTGACACCTGCACTGCCAGAGGAGGTGCGCCGCGTCGTGTCTGTCTACCAGGCGGCCCTGGACCTCCTGCGGCAGCTGCAGGTGCACCCCGAGGTTGCCTCCCAGATGCTCGCCTACCTGTTCTTCTTCTCCGGCACTCTGCTCCTCAACCAGCTCCTGGACAGGGGTGAGGGCAGGTGCTGGGGGACAGGGACCCACATTCCTGCTGGAAATGCTGGGGGTGTTCTCACTGCCAGCCACAGGCTACTGACCCCTCGGATGACTCCTGAGGGACAGCTCTGCTGTGGTGAGGGGTCTGCGGGGGTGGGTGCCCGTGGGGCTGGGGGTGGGAGGCAGGCTGAGGCCCAGGCTTAGGACACATCGCACAGAGAGTGTTCTTGCAGGAGGCATTCTTATCAGCATTTCAGAAAGGCCACGGCAGAAAGGTCTGCACAGGGCCCCTTCCCTATGACAGGCTCAGGGGAGTTATTGAACTGCCCAGAACTGCTGGTGGACATGTGGGGGCCAGGATGGAAGCCACATCCGTACAGCTGCAAAGGCTCTGACCTGTGACCTTGCTCCCTGAGCTAACATTCTCCATCCCCTGCTGGGTTACTTCCAGGCAGAGACACTACTGGGGGCATGGAGAGATCAGAGCAGGGGTGAGCCCACAGCACACACGTGTTGCCAGCACAGATGTGGCAGCTTTGGGAGAGAGGCAAGGTCTTGGCCTTCGGCCTGCGCTTTGGAGTCAGTGGCTGTCACAGCCCTTCTTGCCCTGCCACCTTTACCTCCCACCGCCACCTTTGTTCCAGAGAGGGGCCCAAGAAGTAGGAAAGTTGCCTTGGAAACTGACACAGGGTCTCATGTCTGTCCTTGAGCTATAATGTCCTTCTCTGTCCGGAGGGCAGGCTCTGGGGACCAGCTGGTGCCTGGTTCCCCTGCGTGAGGGTGGTTGCCTACCTGTTTGCTGGGAGACCTGGGCATCACCCTTCCTCTCTCATCCCCAGGCCCCTCCCTGAGTTGTTTCCACTGGCCTAGAGGTGTCCAGGCCTGCACCCGCTTGCAGCAGCTCCTGGAGTGGACAAGGAGCACCGGCTGCGGGGTGGCTGGAGAGCACTTCTTCCGGAAGCTCTCCTGCACCCTCAACCTGCTGGCCACTCCCAGCGCCCAGCTTATCCAGGTAGGAGGGGCACAGACCACAGACGGAGAAAGGCAAGGGCAGTGGAGGGGCTGGGGGTCAGAGGTCCTTTGACCTGTGTCCTGATGAGAAGTGACAGGGGTGGCTGGAGAGCACTTCTTCCGGAAGCTCTCCTGCACCCTCAACCTGCTGGCCACTCCCAGCGCCCAGCTTATCCAGGTAGGAGGGGCACAGACCACAGACGGAGAAAGGCAAGGGCAGTGGAGGGGCTGGGGCCCATGTACTGTCACTCTCCAGTCACCAGCTTACAAGCCAGGCCAGGGGGCTGGACACCTAGCTTCCAGGCCCAGAAAACTCAGTGTTCAGTAGATAACTTGCGAAGTTGCTTTCCTTTCACAGCTCTCCCCACCTGTGGTAGGCAGGATAAGGACCCCAGAGATGTCTATCTTTAGTCCCTAGACCTGTGACTATGTTACTGCACATGACAAAAGGGACTCTGTAGATGTGCCTGAGATTAAGGACTTTGAGACAGGAGGATGACCCTGGTGGGCATCTAATCAGACGATCCATAGGAGTGGGCCAGAGAGATGGACAGAAGAAGAAAGGAGGACTCAACCCACCCTGGCTGGCTCTGAAGATGGAGGAGGGGCCCACAAGCCAAGGAACACAGTGGCCTCTGGGAGTCAGAATGGCCCCCAGATGACAGCCAACACGGAAATGGGACCTCAGTTCTACAACCACGAGGAACTGAATTCTGATAACAATCCAGATGAGCGAGGAAGTGGATCGTCTCCCAGAGCCTCCAGAGAGCTCACAGCCCAGCAAGACCTGCACTAGACTGATCCACAGAACCATGAGATTCCACTCTTGTGTTGCTTTAACCACCAAGGCAGTGGGCATTTGTTGCAACAGCAACAGGAAACTAACCAACCCTCACCCTCCTCCCTTGCCACCCACCTTCCCCTGACACAGGTGTCACGGGTAATCAATGGAAACCAATCTGATGGTTTCTTTTCCTGCCTGGAAAACACTGAACATGCCATAGGATGGAGGTGGGAGTGGCTGCAGCCCAAGATGGAATCTGCTTTCTGTGCGTCTGGAAGGTCGGGTAATGTGAATAGTTTGCCCAACTTCAGGCAAAACCCTGAGCTGACTGTGGAGCAGCCAGCTCAACATGAGACTCACCAGGGCAAACCAGGCCTTTCAGTTTGGTGCCAAAAACAGGACAATGCACCGCCTGAGGATCAAAACACAAAATCTCACCTGTGTGCCCTGCAAGTGTTATTAAAATAACGATAGCTGATGCTATTACTGAGTATCTGCAGACATTAAAGGCTTTGCCTGGGTTATCTCATTTAATCATCACAGCAATCCTCCAAGGTAGGTAGCCTCATGATCCCGTTTTATGAATGACAAAGCTGAGCACAAAGCAAGCCAGGTACCATACCTGGTTCTGTGTGTCATTTATTCATTCAGCATACGTTAAAAATCTACTCTATGTTAGGGACTATATATTGTACTGAATTGTCATTTTTTAAAGTTAATTTTTTTTCATTATAAAAGTGAAACACTTATTCACTATAGAAAATTTAGAAAATATAGGGATGTCTGGGTATGTATGGCAGATGGATTTAATTTGCTTCCTCCCAAACTATCACTAAATAAAAGTAAATCCATGTTTTTTAATGGCATAAGCCCACAAGGACAAAGAAAACAGGAGATGAAAGCAGTAATATTTTGGAAGCTAGAAAGCAGGTGGGTGAAGAGCAACTGCAATAGCAAATCTAGGAAAACTGACTCCTGAGGAGCAGCTGGTTTACAGCAGAGCCACCAAAAGGCTCAGGAATTGGCAGCTCTAGGTACCTCTGGATATTGATGTGGAGATGGGGCTAAAACAGAAGGGCAGCTTGATAGACATTTTGGGAAGCACTAATCCTTGGATGGAGTGGCTTGGAGTGAGCCCACACTTCTGCTGAGAACAACGTGCACAGCCAGATAAAATACAAAAGGCATCTGTTTGAAGGCATCAGAGAGCTGCTGAAGGATTAGAAGAGGTAAGGATCTGCAGAGGGAGAACCACAAAGAGCTGAACTCAAGTTCTGCCTGCTGCTTTCCCCTGGGGGCATTTGCTATCCTGGGAGCAGGTTATGTGTGAGGCTAAGAATCCAGGCTTTGTGTAGGCAGGGGGCCGTTGCTGGGGAAAAAGAAACCCAAACAGATTTGGCCTCTCACAGGCTAGAGAGACAAACTCAGAGACTTTAGGGGCCTAAAATGCATGGCTGGCTTTCTCCTTCAGACCTTTGCCAAAATTCTGGAGCTCCAGGGAGTGGGGTGGGAAGGGCTTTAAAATGAAGCAAAAAGCTCTGAAAAGCAGAGTGGAATTTGTGGTAGTCTCACGATGCTAAGGAGACAAAGATTAGAGTTCAAGACCCCTTAGGGAGTAAACACCAGGCTCACAGTTGAAACCCTCCTGTGAGGATCCAGCAGAGGCCCACTGAGCCTTACCAAAAGCTCACCCAGCCCCAACTCAGCTCTCTCCTCCCCCCATGGCTGAAGTGCAGTGCTCAGCATCAATGAAGATACAAAGTAGCAATACCTGTGGGCTTCAGGTAAAGCAGAGCTAAGAGGTAAAGTTATAGCCTTAAATGTATATATCAGAAAACAAGGAGGGCTGAGAATGAATGATCATGAAGCAAGGCAAAAAGCAGCAAGTCAAGCCCAGAAAAAATAGAAGGAAGGAAATGATAGATAAGAGCAAAAATCAGTGCAATAGTGAAAAACATAGAGGAGAGAAAAGTGATCAAGCCAAGAGTTGGTTCTTCAGAAAGTTTATAAAAGTGGGAAAACACAAATTGTTAGTATCAAAAATGGAAAAAGGGTATCACTCAGATTTTACATTAAAAATTAGTACAGAGTAGTAAAGAGAATATTACAATCAACTTTACGCTGATAAATTTGACAGTTTAGGTGAAAGAAACATGCAAAAAAATACTTATTAAAACTGATACAAGAGGAAATTAAAAATCTGAGTAGTCCTATATATATTAAAGAGATTGAATTTATTATTTAAAAACCTTCTCACAAAAAAGATCTAAGACCCAGATGGTTTCATTCATGAATTATTTTAAACATTAGAGGAAGAAGTAATGTTATTGTTATTCAGATTCCTCCAGAAGCTAGGAAAAAATAGGAAATCCCATCTCATTTTAAAGAGCCAGCACAACCTTGATATCAAAACCTGAAAAGGAATTATAGGAAAGGAAAATTACACATGAAAGGTGAGCAACTTCATTAATCATTAGAGAAATGCAGTTTAAGCATTTTTTTGTTTGTTTGTTTGTTTTTGTTTTTTGCAGCTGGCTGGTAAGGGGATCCAAACTCTTGAGCTTGGTGTTATAACTCCATGCTATAACCAGCTGAGCTAACTGGCCAGCCTTGAAAAATGTAGTTTAAAACCACAGTGTTTTTAAAATACTAAACCAACCAGAATGGTTAAAATGAAAAAAGCCCATGCCAAGCACTGGTGAAGAGGTGTGAACTTGAACTCTCGTGTGTTACTGGTGGTGTTACAACTCAGTGTAACCACTGCAGGAAGCTGTTTGGCAGCATCTGCTGGAGCTGACCGTATGCATGTGCTCTGATGTGGTACTTCTCCCCATTGAAATGCTTCAATTTGTTCTTTACAACAACCTGGACGGGAATGTTCACAGTGGCACTATTCATAGTGGCCCCAAACTGGGAATAGCTTGTATTCATCAACAGCATAATGGATAAGTAAAGTGTAGTCTGTTCATTACAGTGAAGTCCTACAGAGCAATGTGACTTAGCAGACCATTGTCACCAGGAGCTGTAGACAAACCTTACACATCACACTGAGCTGAGGGCGTGGGGTGCAGAAGAGTGCCCGCTCAGGTTCCCTGGCTTGGGTGCAGGAACAAGCAGCACAGCTGTTGAAGTGAGCCCCATGCCCAACCCTGGGAGCCCATGGAGGGACTGCAGGGGCTCAGTATGCTCCTGACCTGCTCCTGCATGCTCTGGTCCTTGTTCCTGGGGCTGGGTGCACTTTGGGAAGATTTTGAATTGTGCATTTCAAACTGGTGTGGTTTTCTGTGTAACTGTTGTGCATTAGTACAAAATGCATCAGGGGAGGGAACAGTGTTACTTAGGGTCTCAGCCACCTTCCCCGCATCTACACAGCTGTGTGCCTGCTCTTTTCTCACTCTGGCAGAAGATGGGTGTCTATTTCTAGAGCATTTAAACAAAAGTTCTCCTGGCTGGGGAGGCCAGGCAAGGGCAGGAGTCTCATGCTGAGAAAAGGGAGTTCCGGGAAAAGTGACCTCCTGATTGCTGGAACCTTGGCCTCCTGCCCAGCTTAGCAGCCAGGCCTGTGTGCTCCAAGCAGGAGGTGGGCTGACCCAGCAGGCTGGAGTCAGGGACAGCCCAGGGGGAGGCATGCAGGTGCCCTTGCTGGGGATACCACAGGAGAGCAGCCAGGCCAGGGCACCCTGAGTGGTCCCTGGATAGCCACGCTCTCTGCTCTGAGGCTGGGAGCCTGCCACTTAAATAGGAGTGAGTCAACAGGCAGCTGTTCTAGAACAGCTTTAACACGAGAGACAGGAGGGGGAAGATGAAGTTGGAGAAAACAGACCGGGGGGCGGCAAATGTTTTCTGTAGAGGGCCAGGTAGAATATGTTTTCAGCTTTGTGGGCCACATATAGTCTCTGTCCTATACTCTTCTTTGTTTTGTTTTCAAACCCTTTAAAAATGTAAAAACTATTCTTAGCTTGAGGGCCTTATAAAAATAGGCCTCAGGCCACAGTTCGTTGACCCCTGAAACAGACTATTCAGGGAGAAGCTGTAAAAGAATCATTTTTATCCTTGTACAAATAAGAGAAGATATAACATCCATAAAATAATAATAAGATTATATAAATAAGAGAACAAAAAGAATTCTTGGAAATTAAAGCTATGAAAGCCGAAATGAAAAGCTCCATAGCGCGGGTGGAAGATCATGTCAAGCGAATCGTCCAGAAAGCAGAGTAAAAAAGACAGGAACACGGAACACAGCGGGGGGAGAGAGATCTGTTCCTGTGAAGATGATGAGAGGATTTCTTAGCACAGGTTGCTGGCTTCCTCCCCAACACCAACCCTGGACAAACTACAGAAGTGGGAAGTAAACATGGCTCTAGCAACTCACAAAACCAAAAAGAACCACCTTGGGGCAAACCACAGGCTTTCCTGAGCTGGTGTGTGTTTAAGGGGTGGGGCTGGAGGGAGCAGGGCTGTAGCCAGTGGGGTGGGGGTGGCCAGAGGTGTTAGAGGATGTGCTGCTGGGAGGTGGGGGGTGTCTGCTCTTGACCCTCCCCATATAGCCTGGAGACATTGATTGTTCCTTCAGTGTAGACATTTGATGACCGCAGTCCAGGCCACTGGATGTTGGCAGCAAAATCAGCAAGAGAGAAACAGAGAGGAAGAAGATGAGAACGTTAAAGGGCCAGTTGGTGAGGCCCAGCACCCAAATAGCAGGAGTCCAGAAGGAGGAAACAGAGAAGAGGGTGGCAAGAAAGTAAAGATAATCCAGACCCAAAGGACCTGAGTTTCTAGATTGAAGGTACCCCCAGTGGACGAGAGTGGATTTGCACCAGGACTGAATGTCACAGAATTTCAGAACATGGACATAGAAAATCTACGAGCTTTCAGAGAAGGAGAAAAACAAGACATATCCAAAGATTAGCAATCAGAATGGTTTCAGACTTCTCAAGAGCAGCACAGGAAGTCTGAAGACAAAGGAGCTGCCTTCGAAATTCCGAGCAATAACGACCCCCAGTCTGGAATTCTGTGCCAGCCGCACCACCAGTCAAGAGTGAGAGCAGGAGGAGGACGTTTTCCAGCATGCAGGGCCCGCGGTTTCCGAGGATGTCCTGGAGTCCTATGAAAACCCCCCACCCATTGTTCTGCCAAGTGAGGGCTTCCAGGTGGATTTGGAAGCAGACTGTCTGGATGACCGCATCTACCAGCACATCCTCTATATCCGCCATTTTCTGTGGAGCCTGCGGAGCAAAGCCAGCCCTGGCGGCGGGCCTGCCCAGCCAGAGTGCCTGGAGGTACCTGCAGGGCGGGGGGCTGTGCTGGGCTCCAGGGCCTGATGGCTGGGGTGGAAGTGGCCCGGCTCTGCCGGGATGCAGCAGGCAGGGAGCTCCAGGAGTCCTGGGTGTTCTCCCCACCTCAGGCCCTGGCTGCAGATGGTGGGGAAGCCCCTTGGCTCTCCCGCCACTCAGACATCAGGCCTGCAGGCATCTTCTGACCCTTTGGGTCGCATGCAGCCTGCGGCCCTCGTGTTCTGCAGGGTGACTCTGGGGGCCGTGGGGCCCTCTCCTCCCCTGGAGGCACTGTGCTGCCTGGCCCGCCCCCTGCTTGGTGCCTGAGTTCTCGCTCTTCTCCCTCCCCAGGACGCCAACCACACCATCCCGGAGGGGCACCTGGATGCCCAGAGCTGCCCCCTGGCTTCCAGGGACCCCAGCAGGGGAGCCCGAGAAGCCACCTTGGCACACTCTCTTCCTTCTGCCAGGGCTCCTCTGGCACAGGGCCCCCTGGGAAGGCAGCCAGGCCGCGGGGGCCGTGGGGGTTCCCAGGCCGGACCCCTGCACATGGACTCCTCATGCCTGCTCACACCTCCCAGCACCCCACTTGGACTTGAGCCCAGAGGCCCTGACTGGACAGAGCTCAGCAGCAACTGCGGGAAGGCGCTTCTGGAAGGGCAGAGGAATGGCCCGTGCGGTCCCCGGGAAGCAGCTCCGGAAGGTGAGGTCCCCCACCCCAGACCCTGCTTGGCACCTTGACACTCCACCCTCAGTCCCTGGGTAGGCCAGGCAGCTGGCCACGCAGCAGCTCGGTCGCTCAGTTGTATGACACATCTTAAACAAATATTCACTGCCATCGTGCGACTGAGCGAGTCTAGAAACGTGCTTAGAATCACTCCTGCACAAGGTGGAGAGGGGGTGGTTTGGACGATGTGGGCCAGCCAGCTGAGGAGGTGTGCTGGGGGCATCTGGGAGGACCTCAGGGAGGAGGTGAAACCAGAGCCCTCTGGGTGCGGAGGCAGGGCACGTGCGTGTGCCTGTGTGTGTGTGTGGGGGGACACTTGTGTGCGTGTGTGCATGTGTGTGCATACGTGTGTGGGCGAGTGCATGGTGTGTGAGTATCCTAAGGAATGAAGAGTCCTTGGTGCTTGTGCAGAGTTTGGAGTGTGCCCTGAGGGTTGGGGTCACCTGGCAGAGCTGGGCCTGAGACAGGCTACCTGCTCAGGTGTTCTGGCACCAGAGCTCAGAAAACTGTCATGAGGCGGCTCCAGAACAGACTCTGGCTCTGCCTCTGAGACCCCAACCCATGTGGCCCGTGGTGGGTGCAAGTGCGTGATGGAGAGAGAAGGCCCAGGGCGCTCAGGGTGGGGCTGGGGACCTGGGGGCAGGGTCCGGTCAGCAGTGGGAGCCCTCAGGAGGGGCGGATGTGGAGGAGGGAGGGGAATCCAGGGCGGTGGGAGGCCGTCGTGAGAGGCCGTGCTGGAACTGTGTGGGGCCCTGGCAGCCGGCGCTGAGAGGGGCCGATGTTCTGCGGTAACCGTAGGGCAGGGACCAAGGTGCCCCTTTCAGGCACATGGGGATGTCGCCCACAGGTGGGCCGCAACCTAATCGCCAGGCTTACTGTTCATGTTCTGCCCAAACGGTGCCTCCTTGGATCTGCACGAGCACTTCACGTCCTCCCCCTGGAGCAGCAGCTGATCTGGGATGTCCCTATGTCTGGACTCCTGGGGCAGGCCTGACCTCCAGCCCACCAGCCCCTCAGCCCTGCTGCACCTTTCCTACGTCCTCCCCCTGGAGCAGCAGCTGATCTGGGATGTCCCTATGTCCGGACTCCTGGGGCAGGCCTGACCTCCAGCCCACCAGCCCCTCAGCCCTGCTGCACCTTTCCTTGCCCACCCAGGAGACTCTGTGGCCCCCATGGATGAGCCGCCTCTGGCCACTTCGAGCCGCAGCTCCAGCACCGATGACTTCTGCTACGTCTTCATGGTGGAGCTGGAGCGAGGCCCCTCGGGGCTGGGAATGGGCCTGATCGATGGGATGGTGAGTGGCCCCAGGACCCCTGCCCGCCTCCCGCATCTCCCCACTGCCCCTTGTAGGCTGCCTTGGTTCCTGCTGTTTACAGAGTGTGGCCAGGGAGGAGGAGAGTGGGGGAGGCCTCTGCTATGCTTGGGACTGAGGGCCCGGCCTGTCCACTGGCCTCTTTCCCTGGGCCTGCTGTCATCTTGCCCCCATCCCCAGACTTTTAGGGTCTGTCCTGGGCCTTTGGGAACAGTGGTGGTATCCAGTGCTTTTATTGCTGGACCTGTGAAGACCAAACTCATGAGCTTGGCCTGACTCCAGACATGGGGCCTGCAAACGCCGGGGAAGTGGGCTGCAGGGTTCCTCACTGGGGACAGCTGGGGTCAGCAGCTGCAGAGCCCTGAGGCCCCTGCTTTTCCCCAGCACACGCCCCTGGGCACCCCAGGGCTCTATATCCAGACCCTGCTGCCAGGCAGCCCCGCAGCATCTGACGGGCGGCTGTCGCTGGGAGACCGCATCCTGGAGGTGAACGGCAGCAGCCTGATGGGCGTCGGCTACCTGAGGTACCGCCACACACACATCTTGGCTCAAGCAGTCGGGGTTAGCCTAGACAGGTCCACCTGCAGGACAAGCCCCTACACCCATGGGCACCGCCTGGCCTTGCTCCTCCCAGATGCTCTAAGGAGGGGAGGGGAGACTGGATGCCCAGGCCAGGCTCACGCGCAGCCCCATCAAGTCCTTGCATGCAGTGACAGCTGAGGGTGGGGGGAGTCGGATCTGCTGGGTCTGGTGGTGCGTCCCCCTGCACTCGGCAGTGGCCTCCTGGGTGCTCTGCGGCACCACCTCACTCCTGTGTTGGTTTCAGAGCTGTCGATCTGATCCGACACGGCGGGAAGAAGATGAGGTTTCTGGTTGCCAAGTCTGATGTGGAAACAGCCAAGAAAATCCGCTTCTGCACGCCCCCTCCCTAGGGTGGTCGCGCCCCGCTTCCCTGAGCTTCTGTAGGTGACGCTGACCTTCATCGAGCTGTTCGTTGTTTTTTAAAAGTAATGAGTCAAGTTCTCCTTTGGTGGCATCGCCTTCAGGACATACCCTGTTGATAATGTACATCTTGGTGTATATTTTATTTATATGACAGATAACACTAAGTTGTGATGTTTATTACAGAGCTTTTATGTTTAAAGGCTTTAATGAGAAGTGTAGATTCAGTAAACTTTCTTTCATATTCTTAGAGAGCGTCGGGGCTGCTGTCTACTGTCTGTGGCCCAGCCGTGTGGGCAGCGGGGTGGGGGAGGGGTGGTGGCTGCTGGTGGCTCCCCATGACTGCCCCCTCCCGTCCAGCATGGGACAAGCCCTAGTGGACACGGGGATGGTTGTCATGGCTGGGATTATTTCAACTGACTCTTCCTGCCCCCACCCTGCACAGAAACAAGAGCATTAGGAAACAGCAAGCAGCTCCCTTGCAGCCAGAAAAATCAGAGTGTAGTGTGATCCCACTGCTCAGCATGGTCCAAACCCCCAGAAGGTGAGAAAGTGAAGAGCCTGAAGTATCCCTGAGGGCGCCGAGCCCACCCTGGCCCTGGGCCTCCTCTCCCCGAGGCCTCCCACTCCTCCCTGAAGTCCTCTCTGATCACTAAAGCTGCGGCTTGGCCCTAATACCAGGCTGGTGGCCCCAGGCTCTTAATCTGCGGCAGTGTCTGCCTGGTCACTGTCCCTTCACCCCGGCAGGAGACTGGCCTCCTTCTCCACCAGCCGGCTGACCGTGCGCAGGGCCAGGGGCAGGGCCGTGTTGGTGTCCCGGTGGTAGCGGGGCTCGCACACCTCCACACTCGGCGTGAGCACAAACTGGGCCACGCTGGGCATCTTCAGCAGGTTCAGCAGCTCTGTGGCCCGGGTGCAGATGGCTTCTGAGTCCTCCTCACTGTGCACAGAGCCAGTGGCCGGGCTCTGGGCCAGGGTCCTCATCTTTGACAGTAACAGAGAGACCCTGGGGACAAGAGGGTCCCACCAGTCAGCTGCAGACACACCCCTCACGTGGAAAAGGGTCAGTGTGGAGAGGCCCAGTCCCCGAAGGCACCCAGCTAGGGAGGCTTTTGCTCTTCGGTGCCCACCGCCCTGGTGCATCCAGCTGACACAACCTAGCCACCCACGTCCAAACAAGACCCTTGTGCTCCTGGGACTATTTCAAGACACCTGGGACAGGGAAGACCTCAGAAGCCACGTCCTTTCCCCATGTAAGGCCAACAGGTTTTCCTCTCCCCACTCACTAACTAGGTACCTGGGGATCAGGTCTTGGCTGCGGGAGGCCAGCTTGGTCAGTGTAGTCATGAGCACAGTGATGACCTGTGGTGGACACTTGGGCAGGGTAGCAGAGGGGCGGGATTGGGCGACCTCGAATAGCAGGGCCTCCAGGGCTTCAAAGAACTTGTTGATCTGCTCCACGGTGCACCGCCTGTCACAGGTTACCGACAGGTACTCGCCAACGGCCCACACCTAGGCCCGGGAACAGAGGCTCAGCACACGCCCTGGTCTTGTCTGTCAGGAGGGACAGGAGGCCGGCATGGGCCTTACCACACTGGTGAGCATGCTTGCTCTGCTGTGGATGCCACTCACGCTTCCCACGAACTCCAGGAGGTCCTTGGCCAGCTCAACCACCAGGGAGGGCTTCAGCTTACACAGGGCCCCCAAGTATAATATGCTTACAGAAATGAAGTAGGGAATTAGAAACATGATTTAAGGAATAAGAGACTTTCCAAGTGACCAAGCAAATTTGAAATTGAGCTAAATAGATCTTCTAGAAATGAAAAATAGCTGGCTGGTTAGTTCAGTAGGTTAGAGCATGGTGCTGATAATAACAAGGTCTGGGGTTTGATTCCTGTACTGGCCAGCAAAAAAGAAAAATATATGAAAAATAGAATCGTTGATATTATAACCCAGAGAAAAAATTAACAAGCAGATTGGACAGATGAAAAGATAATTAATGAACTGGAATAGAGTTTTAGAAATTCTTCATAATGCACTGTGGAGAGTCAGAAATTATGAAGATAAAGGTTGAGAGACAGAATAAGAAGGTGCAACTTACATCAAGTGGAGTTCTGAAAGGAGATGGGAAAATGGGGGAGAAGTAATACTTAAGAGATAGTGGCTAAGAATTTTCCAGAATTGCTGAAAGACCCAAATCCTCTGAGTCAGGATGATTAATGAATCCCAAGAGGATAAATCAAAAGAAATCTCCACTTAAGTACATTGCTACAGAAACCCAAACACGAATAGATTATCTTAAAATCTGCCAGACAGTAGTACAGATTTCCAGAAAGAATAATTCAACTGGATACCGTCCTCCCCAAACACTACAATGGAGACCAGCAAATGGAATAATTTCTTCAAAGGATTAAGGAAAAACTGTCAATCTAGAATTGTAAACACACCTAACATAACTTTCAAGAATAAGGATAAATGTATAATATTTTCAAACAAAAGGGAGAGAATTTACTACTCGTAGACAAGAAACTTGTGAAAGTTGTACTTCGGGAAGAAGGAAAATTATACCTACGAGGTCTGAAATGCAAGAATGTACGGTAAGCAAACAAATGTACAAATGTAGAGAAGAAAAAAACACTATCTAAAACAGCAATAGGGATGTCTAATTTGGGAAGTGTTTCAATAAAAAGGTAGCGGGAAAATTCAGAATACCAATTGCATGTAAGCCAGAAGGAGGTGGTGACAGGAAGTAAAATATTGTAAGGTCCTTGTTTTAGAATACAAATGATATTGGTTACCTTTAGACTTTATTAAAGAATGTGTGTTGAAATATCAAGGGTAGCCACTTAAAAAATAGAAGGGCTGGCTGGTTAGCTCAGTTGGTTAGAGCGTGGTGAGAATTCAGATCGTCATACCAGCCAGCTGCCAAAAAAATAAAAAAATAAAAGAATAGAATGTTTAACTTTCAGACTAACAGAGGAGAAACATGGAATAAGAAAACTCAATGGCAGAAAGAAAAAAAAAATGGACAAGTAGCACAAGGGTTAAGATCCCCTTACTGGTCATCTTTTTAAGAAAAAAAAAAAGAAAGAAACCTAGAACATAAGAACATGGAAAGGTTAAAGACAAAAGGATGGACAAAGATATGTCAGATGTACTCAGTAATTACAAGTTCAGTTCACCAGGAAGATGAAATAATTTTAAACTTGGATGCACCTAATAACATTCTCAAAAAATGTAAAGCAAAAACCTATAGAACCAGAGGGAGAAATGGATAAATCCACTATCATAAAGGGAGGCCTTAGCATAAAGGCCTCTCCCAGTAATTGATAAATCAAGCTGGCAGAAAATCAATAAGGATATATTATTGAGAAAAAGAAACAATGTCCTTTCTTGACCTCTTGGAACTTAAATCCTAGTTTTTCTAGGCTGACAAGAAATAAATACATGAGTGCACGTCAGTGATAAGTGCTGCAGAGAAAAACAATGCAGGGAAGATGGTGCAGGAAGTGTGTGGCTGGAGACAGAAGATGGGGTGAGTGTATTAGTCCGTTTTGTGTTGCTATAAAAAAATACCTGGGACTGTGTAATTTATAAAGAACAGAGGTTTATTTGGCTTATGATTCTGGGACAGCTGCATTTGGTGCAGGGCTCAGGCAGCTTAGTTTCTGAGGCTGGGAAGTCCAAAGTCTATCTGGTGGGGCAACAGTGACCCAGGGGTCTCACATTGCAAGATGGTGGAAGCAGAGAGAGCACAGAGAGCAGAGAGAGAAGACAGACTCTCCTCTTCTTTTAAAGCCCTCAGAACCATGCTCCTGGCCACCATTTTTAATCCATTCAGTACTGCAGGGTCCTACAATCCAATCACCTCTTCGAGGCTCCGCCTTTCAGTTACCATAATAGGATTTCCCACCCTCTTAACAGTCACCGTGGGGGCCAAGTTTCTAATACACAAAACTTAGGGGACACAATTCAAGCTTCAGGGAGTTTGGGGGGGAGGGTCCTACAATCCAATCACCTCTTCGAGGCTCCGCCTTTCAGTTACCATAATAGGATTTCCCACCCTCTTAACAGTCACCGTGGGGACCAAGTTTCTAATACACAAAACTTAGGGGACACAATTCAAGCTTCAGGGAGTTTGGGGGGGACATATTTCAATCCACTACATTCTGCCCCTGGTCCCCCAAAACTCATGTCCTTTTCACATGCAAATGGATTCATTTCATCCCCAAAGTCTTAACTTGTTTCAACTCAAGAGTCCAAAGTTCAAAGTCCCATCTGTGAAACCAATGCAAGTTATCTACTTCCGAGATACAATGGTGGGACAAACATAGGGTACATATTCCCATTCAAAAAGGGAGAAATTGGCCAAAAGAAAGGGGTAACAGGTTCCAAACACGTCTGAAGCCCAGCAGGGCAGGCATTAAATCTCAAGGCTGACAAATCATGTACCTTGACTCCATGTTTAACCACCTCTGCATGCTCTTCTGGGGTTCTGGTCCCCAAGTCCTTGGAAAGCTCCAATCCTGTGGCTTTCCTGGTCTCAGGCCTCACTTCACCTCTCCCAGGCTGTTCCACTCTGGTAGCTCCACAGGTCTGGAGTCTCCATGGCAGTCCTGCTCTCAAGGCTCCACTAGACATGGTGCTGTTGGGGTTTCCACATTTCTGCTCGGCATTGCTCTAGTGAAGGCTGTCTGTGGTGACTCTGCCACTGTGACAGATCTCTTTCTGGGCCTCCAGACTTTTCCATACATCCTTTGAAATTGCAGTGGAGGCTCCCAAGCCTTCCCAGCTCTGGCATTCTGTGAGCCTGCAGACCTAACACCACAAGGACGTTGGCAAACCTTCTGGCTTGTATTTTCCAAAGCTGTGGGTCCAGCCACACTTGGGGTCAGTTTAGCCACAGCTGGGGCAGTCAAAACAGTTGGGGTGCTGGTGTGGGGAGCAGCTTAGCAAGGTAGCCCTGGGCAGCAAGCCCATGGAGGGTGCTTCAGGCCTAAGAAGACCTAGACCATTTCCCAAGACCATTCTGTCTCCCTAGGCCTTTGGGCCTGAAAAGGAAGGGTTGGCCCCAGAGGCTTCTGCAATGCCTTCAGGAACTTTCCCCGTCTCTTGACAATCCCATACTTTTGTGTTAATCTTCTTAGCATCATTGAATTTTTCTTCTGAAAATGCTCTCTACTTCTCTACCACATGTCCAGGCTGCAAATTTTCCAAATCTTTACACTCTGCTTCCCTTTTAAATTCTGGCTTTATGTCGTGCCTTTGCCACCATAACTCAGTGTAGGCTGTGACAAGTAGCCATGCAACTTCCTTAATGCTTTGCTTCTTAGAAATTTCTTCCACCAGATACTCTGGTTCACAACTCCTAAGTTCCAACTTCCACAAAGTCCTAGGTCATGGACACAACGCAGCCAAGTCCCTTGCCAGTTCACAGCAAGGGTGATCTTTGCCCCAGTTTCCAATAAACTCCTTCTGATTTCTATCTGAGACCTCCTTAGAACGGTCTTTACAGTCCATATTTCTATCAGCATTTTGCTCGCCACCACGTAACCAGTCTCTAAGACATTCCAAACTTGCCCTTGTCTTTTTGTCTTCTTCTGAGTCCTCCAAACTCCTCCAACCTTTGCTGAACACCCAGTTCCAAAGCTGCTTCCACATTTTCAAGTATTTGCTATAAGCACACCCCACTTCTCTGGTACCAATTTTCTGTATTAGTCCACTTTGTGTTGCTTCTAACAAAATGCTTCGAACTGGGTGATTTATAAAGAAAAACGAAATTTTTTGCTTACAGTTTCTTAGGCTAGGGAGTCCAAAATCCATCTGGTGGTGGCAACAGTGACCCAGGGGTCTCACATTGCAAGATGGTGGAAGCAGAGAGAGAGAGAGACAGACTCTCCTCTTCTTTTAAAGCCCTCAGAACCACGTCCCGGACCAATATTTGTAATCCATTCACTATGACATGGTCCTACAATCCAATCACCTCTTCAAGGCTCCACCTTTCAATTATCGTAATAGGATTTCCCACCCTCATAGCAGTCACAGTGGGGGCCAAGTTTCTTTTTTTTTTTTTAATGTTTATTGACCAATTTTTTTTTGTTTTTTCGGGTTTTTTTTATTGAATCATAATTGATTATACATATTTTTGGTATTCAATGCTGACATATATTGATCAAATCAATATTACTATTATGTATATTGTTACAAATTGTACTCATTCTTTATGCCCCTTGTCCAATCTCTCCCTCTCCCCTTCTCCCCTCCCACCACTGATAACCCTAGATTTCTTCTCTTCCTCTGAAAGAGTAATGGTTACTCTGTTGATTTGTTGCCTAGATGATCTGTCCAATGCTGAGAGGTGCATTCAGGTCCCCCAATACTATCATAGAGCAGAAGCTTCTGTCACTCTGGAATGGGCTTTGTGGAGAGAGACATCCTCTTCTTTTCTTTGGTCTCTGCTGGTGACTCTCCTTACATCAATGCACTCCAGTGGCTGGTGGACCATCCATGTGCTGGTTGTGGCGTCTAGCCACTTTCATGGCAGCCATGGTTACTGTGGTGGCTGTGGTGGGCCACCCACATGGAGGTGATGTTTTCGGAATGCTCCTTCGTGAAGGCGGTGTGCCAGGCTGTGGGGGGTGTCTGATCCCTAGCTCTATGACTCAGGACTCTGGGCGGGCCCTGAGGCGCTAGTGGCATGCCTGGTTGTGTAGGGGGATCTGGTCCCTGACTCCATGTGCTAGGCCTCC